TGTCCCTTCCATCCTGTGCCCACGGCCCACCGTCTCCCCGTATTTTCTGATCATTTTGGGCAGAGAAGCTTCCGTAGTTCCCCAGCTAGATGAGAATTGCAGGACTTCTCTCTGTCCAAACATGCACCTTCAGATGTATGTATTTAATTACACTGCTGTACCTCCCCAAAGGCAAAGCTCTCCGAGTTATTTATTTCATAAGCAACTGGATGCTATCCAATTGACCTCATGATTACGTTGCACGCTGCTTGGGAGCCCAGAAGAAAAGCCCTGTGCACGCTCAGACAGAAAAGAGCGCTACGTGGCCTCTTACAAAAATCAGCTCCACTGGTGGCTTGTCCACTGCAGAGGCCGGCAAGCCTCTTGGCAGGAACGCTTTGGCAACTGGTTCCCTGCCCTGGCCGTGTGTCGGAGTAGATGGCCGTTGTAAGGGAGAGAGGGCCGCAGTTGTGCGCCCGGTCAGAATTTGGACGCGTTTCTAAATGTAAGAGGAGATGAGAGGCAGGAAGAGATAAGCAGCTCTGGACAAATGTCTCTGTGAAATCGTGGTTACGATACCTGTCGGAAGAGCCCAGAACCCTCCCCAAAGAAACGCCCAGGAAGGTACGTAGCGGAGGCAGGAAAACCAAAGAGCCCGCTCTGCTGCACCGTGCCCCTCGCCTTGGCCGCCACCGCCTGCGTGCCACTTGCACGCTCTTCCGGGGACCCACGTGGCCTGGCCACAGACACCCACCCAGCGTAACAAGGAAGCACAGCTCCAGCCTGGAGCCCTGACACAAGCCGTTAACTTCAGGCGCGCCGTGATAAGCTCTGGCAAAGGTTATGGCCTACACCCGAGCTCAGGCGATGCGTTTCCACATTGCAGTTCTGCAGAAAGCAAGACCCCCATGATGAATTTGGCCTGGCCTGCTCTCTATCTGCCAAGGAAACGTCCTAGTAAATTCCTCCAAGATGGCTTTCCCTCTTAACTCCATCTTGACGTTTCATTGCTCTAAGGTTTCCAAGAAACCATTAAGGTTCCGGGGGGGAGGGGGGGAGCCGATGATTGACAAAAACATTAAGCGTAATGCTGAACAGACACAGCTCAGAACCAACCGCGGACCCCTAGAGGCGGCTTCCAGGAAAATGAGGACAACCCTCCGGTCTCGCCTTTCCAGCTACAAACGTGATCTGAAATGGAGCAGAGTGGCCTGCCCCAACCAAGAGCTCTCAGAATACCCCAGCCCTCATCTGCCACAGCCAGCATGAATCTGTACGATCAGGACTGTTGGTAGTCCAAACCTCCTGGAGGGCGCCAAGTTGAGCAAGGCCGGGTCAGAGGCAGTCTCAGGCCTAGAAGAAGAGAACCCCGGTGCCTCCTGGGTATGTTGACCTCCAACTCCCAGCACAGCCAACGTTCAGGGAGACTGGGAACTGAGGCCTGGAAGGGTGGGAGAGCCGCCAAAGCCCGCCATAATGCCTACGGGAAAAATACAAACATTCGGCTTTGTGTTTTGTCTGTAAGCGAAACCTCGAAGCGTGGGCTCTTCAGTTCAAGCTGCAGGACGCGAGGGTTCCTGCTGCTCACATCGCAGCTCCTGCTCCACCTCTCCTTCTACAGCACGGCAGTGACCAGCTCCTCGCCACGCAGGGCCGGTGCCGCAGGACTCTCCCCGGGCCCCAGCTGACGCAGTGTTGCAAAAGGCGAGCTCTGCGTCCCCCTGCGCATCTCCTAGCCAAACGACGCAGAAGCAGCACGTTTCAGCAGGTGCGGAGGAACTGGGAAGTTTGTAGAAGTGCACTTAATGAAAGAGCGGGGAGGAGGCTAGACAGACTGGCCCCGGGCCGTGGACGAGGTAAGAGACCCCAGACCAGACCAGTGAAAACTGAGCATTCTCAGCAGCCACGAAACGTGGATTGTTGGAGACGGAAAACTGACCGGGGGGGGGGGGGGGGGGGGGGGAGGGGGGGGGGGGGGGGGGGGGGGGGGGGGGGGGGGGGGGGGGGGGGAGGGGAAGGCGTACTGGGAGAGGACACGGATGCGGGAGCCAAACAAGCACCTCCCTCCCACCGTGCTGCAGCACTTCACTCTAGGTCCCGCTTGGTTATGTCCACCGAAATATTAAAGGCTGCTTTAATTTACAGCACAATTAAAACACACACAGTTGAAGAACCAGATGAGAGAAATCAGAAGCAGCTCTTCACTGTTTTTCTGGAGCGGCTGTTCATACGACTTTCCTATGAGGCGGAAGCCACGGACGGGGAGAGTCTGTGGGGCAAGAGGTAGCAGCACACCCGGCGTCTCGCGCCCGCGATTTAAGCCTCTGACGCCACCGTCTTGCACACTGTGCCCCAGGAGGGCCCTTAGGCAAGCAGCACAAGAGGATTAAAACAGAGTGGGCAGCTTTAGAGCCCAGGTGGGGGGCAAGCTCCCCACAAGCAGAAAGCTGGAAGAACGCTTCCCTTCCCCATGAAGCAGCTCCCCCTCCGAGGACGGGTGCAAGCGAGGGAGCCATTCCAACAGGGATTGCCCACGTGGCTGGAAGAGCTGCGGCCCCTTCCAGCAGCTGCCACCGTGGCACAGATGAATCAGGGCCAAAGGCACAGCACATCGAGAGCGCGCCACGTGATCTGCCACTGACGCATCAGACAGAAAGGTGGTCCCATGTCGAGAGGAGGACGAGGGAAGCCCAGTTGGGCCTCCGTCCAGGCGCAGGCGTGGGCTGTCGGACCCCTGCCTCTCAACTTCACCCACCTCAAAGGGTTGCTCAAGGATAACCGGGGGGGGGGGGGGCAAGGCCCTCCAGAGTTCCATGGAAGGGCGTGGAGAAGAAGAAAAAATACTAGACAGTTTTTTAAAAGGGGATTAAGTTTTACATGGGGGTGGCGGGTCAGGAAATCAGAGAGGGACCCACCCCAACATGACAATGAGGGCAGCGCTGCCTGAAGTGCCCACCTTGGCTTAATCGAGCCCAGATGTTCCCCTCAGCTCAGCTCGGCTCGCGTGCCTCTGGCCCACAGCACACTGCCAACGAATGGAAGGGCGGCTGGTAGGTTCTCGTATCGGGTTGCCCACCTCTGGGGAAAGCAGCGGGCGATGACGTTGTGGAAGAAGGAAAGGTCACACGCACAGCACATGGCAAGCCTCTCCAACGGGCCCGGCTCCCCGGCGTGGACGCGCACAACTCTGTCAGTTCAGCTGCATGCAATTTGGCTGCTCGGAACAGCCCCCCCCCCCCGCCCGCCCGCCCAGTATGAAAACCCCGCACAAGGAAAAGCAATCCTCCGCAGAAATAAGATACCATCTGCCCACAAGAAGGTTCTCGGGCTGACAGCTCGACTCTGCTGAGACAGTGCATGGATTCACTCACCGCAGCAGCAGCGCAAGAACAAGCTTCTCTAACCGAGCGTCCAAGATTAGGCCTGGTTGAAATCTGGACGGGCGACTTAAAATGTTGCGAACCGCCCAGAAAGCTTCGGCTATGGGCAGTATTAGAAGTGTAATGAGTACGAGGAAGTATCAAAAATTGGGAGGAGGGAAATAATCAGCCGGTATGGGAGGAAATTCCTAGAAACTAGGAAAGATACATTCTCAATGAAATCAAAACATGGCCACCACCCTGCCCTCTGCCTCCCCCCTCCCCCCCCCAAAAAAACAACCACCCAGAATAGCAAGGCTACACAACGCTAGACAAGCTACACAAGTGTTTGGTTTGGGGATTTAACCGCTCCAAAGCATAACCGATTTCTCAAAGACAAGGCTGTTAGGGCCCCAGAAGCATCCAGACAAACACACAAACACCCACCTGGTACTTTATTTTAAGGCCATTCGACTGTTTCAAACATTTGCACTCTGTATATTTTATCCGATTTGTAAACAGGTCTGTAATTACCTATGTTTTATTTACGTTCCCTTGATGTTGCGCCGATCTGTGTATACTTCGCTCAGCTTTGAGCTGTGATCCAGACAATGGCTGCTCAACGGTATTTCTTTAAAGGATATGCATGGTATGAAAAAGATTAGGACTACCAGCACGGTGTAAATGCTTCCTGTCCACAGTGTTTATACCACCCTTCATTTTATGTACCAAGGTTCTTTAGTTGCATGCCTACAATGTTAAAAATATTAATACTCGACGGACCAATTTGTAAGGCTCACTTTCTCAAAGAAAGGAAAAACGGGCAGGACGAGTACAAGCTAACGCCAAACTGAGAGCCGTCACTGCTCCCTTTTCAGAGGTACGATCACATAAGCACTGGATAAGGCACCAAACATCTCAGAAGCAGCCAAATTCCGAAATTCTCCTGTTCCTGGTGATTAACGGCAACCGGCCAAACATGTGTGGACAGTTAAAAAAATAGTAGAGATGTTAGAAAGTCACAGAAAAGGCCCTCGCATTTCTGTGGTAGAAAGAGACACCAACATGACTGCAGGCCGCTGAAAGAGCCACAGAAGACGTTCTGGTGCTGGCTGGAACCCGAAAGAGACTGTGGAAAGGGTGGAGTCACCGCAGATCACAGAAATGGAGCAAAAAGAGAGCGAGAGAGGAAAGCTTGCATTTGAGGGTGGAATTGGCTCGTACATTAAGGATGCTGCACGGAGGGCTCTGGATTCGAAACATCCTTCGGTATTCTTGACCAGAGCATTGAGAAAGACAAGGGTCAGAGGGTGAGAGAGAGAGAGCAGTGACCAAACAAGGAGAGCGCAGAAGAGTCCGTGGTGCAGTATCTTCCCCGAGTCTAGCCAACTGGGTTACCCACGAGGGCGATTTGTTTCCCTCACAGCAGCCTCAGGGAGACAACTCCGGCATTTTAGATCCAGAAGCAGAAAAAAGCAACACATTTCAGAAACAAAGCACCCACGCCGACGACAACACACACCAGGCAAGCCACACAGGTCAAAGACTAGATATTTAATGACCTCCGAGAACAGATGGCACCCTGCATACACCAGCGTATTCACACTCAGCAAGATGCTCGAAAGGGGCAAGGCGTCCTCTGCCACCCCCACCCCCTCCCTTTCACCAGTTCCAGAAGTACAACCGGCTGCCGTGCTTGGCGGGCTCCAGCTCGCCTTCAATGGGTGGGTTTGGCGGTGGTCTCGGCCGGGAATGATAAGGATTCTCAGGGACTGGCCGCTCCGTCTTCACTTTGGTGACCTGGAGGGGGCAAGAATCACATGGGAGCCTCCTGCATCACCCCAAGAGGCAAAGCAGCAGCGAAACCGGGATGCGCCACGAAGGCCAGGCCAGGCCAAGCCGCCCCAGCAGTGCAAGGAAGCACATCCATGCGAGCAGAGCGTTCTGCCGCTTCCTCAGAGCGAGCCAAACGTTTGGCACACCCGCCCCAGACGGCTTGCTGTGCTGGCTGCCCAGAGCACTGGAGGACGATGTTTGGGGACGAATTGGGACCACGGCTCCCCAAATCGCTGGTGCCCGCCCATTTTCAGTCAGGGAGCCAGATCCACTTTTGGAGACAAAATCCAGGGGAGGAACAGCGATGGTGCCCGGTCTACAACGCATTCGGCCTCGGGGGCGGCGGGGCAGCAGACGAATCAGATTCCTGCCCGCACAATGCTAACAGCCCCTCTGGAGAGGGGTCGGAGAGGAAGGGCAGCGAGGCCCGTCCACCCACACAACCCTGGGCTCAGAGGCGCTGCCAAGACCACCGCTGCACGGGCCTGGGACTGCAAAAGGGACAACCAGAGCGACCGACGCTGCCTCGGCCTCTGAGGCCTTCTGCACCAGAAGCAAGCCAATCGCATCGAGCGGAGGGTTCTGTGACCGGCCAGGCAGGGCAGCCACTTCACAAGTCGGCAAGGCATCCCCTGCCCCAGGCAGCCATCTTGGGAGAACACCCACGACTCACGCTCCAAATTCCAGATTTATTCCCCGACACAACAAGTGTGGGACTCCCTTACACTGACGGATGTTGTGGCTCCAACAGGCATTTCAGACAGGAAGAAATGCCGGGGATTCTGCACAGGTGCTCCAGCTGCAACGCAGGGGCCCCCGGAGTGAGCTGGGCCCTGGCCCTGCATTTCACCCTTCCCTGCCCCACCCACACTCGCAAGCACAGACAGTGGCCTCGCGAAGGCCAGGACCTGCCCCTTCCCTGTGCGACGTGCCTTCCATCGTCACAAAAGCACAGGAGACTGAAAGGGGGAAGCCGCACCTACACCCACAAGGTGCCGCACAAGCTTCCCTCAGACAAAGCAAGGCTGCCCACGGAGGACTGGAGCGGGGCAGACCAAACGCTTATGAGGTGCCTCTGTTTCAGGGGCTGCACAAGAGCCTCGGCCCTGCTTTTAGATCCCTGCACGTACAGTAAGTCCAGGGCTCTGGCAGAAGCAGGCCATCCTTTCCCTGCCAGGGCTGGGAGGGAGAAGGGGTGGCACACTCCCACTCGGCTCCGGCCCTGCCAACCGCAGGATTCGGCTCCACCTGCTACGGACAGGAGGCCTCCGACTGATCGATCGCATTGGAATGTGGTCCTCGCAAAAACCCAGCCGGCGGCCCAGCTCAGCAGCTAAGCCTCAGCCAAATGCGAAAAGCCCCTCAGAGGCCGAGGGCAAGCCGAGGCCTCCCCTCCCGAAAGACAAAAGAGAGGGGCGAGCAGCCTCCTTAGGCTCACCAGTGGGGAGGCCGAGAGAGACAAGCATGGGGGCAAGGCTGCGACACACACGGTGAAAGGGGAAGCAGAAAGCGTCTGGCGCACGTGAGAAACGACACCCGGCGGACTCAAGTGTTACCTTGGACAGCTGCCCCAGCTCCGGTCTCACCCAGCCCAGTTTCTCCAGCACACAATCGTCAAAGACCTTCTGTTGCTTCCGGCAGTGCTGCAGGTCCAGCAAGTCATTGCAGTCAATGCAGGTCCAGTACTGGGTGAACGGTTCAGCACAGTGCAGCTTGATCTGCCTATAAACCGCAAGGAGAGAGGCCACGCCCACCCGCCCTATTATTTGTGTACCGTTAAAGGCTTCCATAGGCCGTCCTTTACAGAAATATCTCAGGACGGCTCAGCCATTCAAAGCCCATTTAACACCTCTAGTGACATTCTTCACAGATGAAAACAGTAATACTACACAACACAATAAACAAACATCAAATAAAGCAAGTTTAAGCAAAATAAGCCAAGCAGAAGCGACTGGAACCATTGAACCTACTAACTTGCAACACGGTGACTACGTTAAAAGGTTTTGACCCGGCGCCGAAAGGAGCGCAAGCCCGGCGCCAGGCCTCCCTGGGTGCTTACTAAAAGGCACACGTCCCCGCGCACTGCAGAGTCACTGTGCCACGAAGGCCAGGTGGGCCACGATCCACCGACACGGCTGGTTTTCTGAAGGACGACGGGCCGACCCAACGCACCGGCCGCCCGCAGCCCGCCCCCGCGGCCCCCGGCTCCCAGCTGACCCTGCTGCGCCCGCACACGAGGCCGACGCGGGGCCGCGGCCTCCGGCGTACCTGAAGAAGTCCAGCGCGCACCTGTTCACCTCCCTGCCCTCCTTCAGGCACCTGCGCGGGTCCTTCTCCTCCCAGCGGCAGAGCATGAACTCCTTGTTCGGCCGGTCGCACTGCGAGCCGTAGTGGTGGGCCGCCGCCTTCAGCACGGCGGAGCTGACGTTCACCTGCGGGGCGAGCGAGGCGGTGAGCCGCTCGCCGGGCCGCCTCCCGCCCGCCCGCCCGCCCGCCCGGGCCTCCAGCCGCACT